GTGGACGTGGACGTGGACAGTGGACGTGGTCGTGGACGTGGACGTGGACGTGGACGTGGACGTGGACGTGGACGTGGTCATGGACGTGGACGTGGACGTGGGACGTGGACGTGGTCATGGACGTGGACGTGGACGTGGACGTGGACGTGGACACGGACGTGGACGTGAACGTGGAGGACTTGGACGTGGAGGACTTGGACGTGGACGTGGACGTGGACGTGGTCGTGGACGTGCACGTGGTCGTGGACGTGGACATGGTCGTGGACATGGACGTGGATGGGTCGTGGACGTGGAAGTGGTCGTGGTCGTGGACGTGGTCGTAGACGTGGACGTGGTCGTCCACGACGTGGACTTGGACATGGACTTGGCGGTGGACGTGGACGTGGTCGTGGACGTGGTCATGGACGTGGTCGTGGACGTGGATGTGGACATGGACGTGGTCGTGGTCGTGGACGTGGACGTGGACGTGGTCGTGCACGTTGACGTAGACGTGGACTTGAGGATGTGGACGTAGAGGACGTGGACGTGGAGGACGTGGACGTGGACGTGGAGGACGTGGACGCGGACGTGGTCGTGGACGTGGACGTTGACGTGGACGTGGACGTGGGGGACTTGGACGTGGACATGGACGTGGACGTGGACGTGGACGTGGACGTGGACGTGGACCTGGACGTGGACGTGGACATGGACGTGGACGTGGACGTGGACGTGGACGTGGACGTGGACGTGGACCTTGTCATGGACGTGAACGTGGACATTGTCATGGACGTGGACGTGGACGTGGACGTGGACGTAGTCGTGGACGTGGACGTGGACGTGGTCGTGGACGTGGACATTGTCGTGGACGTGGACGTGGACGTGGACGTGGACATTGTCGTGGACGTGGACGTGGACGTGGACGTGGACGTGGACGTGGACGTGGACGTGGTCGTGGACGTGGACGTGGTCGTGGACGTGGACGTGGACGTGGACGACTTGGACGTGGACGTGGACGTGGACGTGGACCTGGACGTGGACGTGGACGTGGACGTGGACGTGGACGTGGACATAGACGTGGACGTGGACGTGGACGTGGACCTTGTCGTGGACATGGACGTGGACGTGGACGTGGACGTGGACGTGGTCGTGGATGTGGACGTGGACGTGGACGTGATCGTGGACGTGGCCATGGACGTGGAAGTGGAGGACGTGGACGTGGACATGGACGTGGACGTGGACGAGGACGTAGACGTGGACGTGGACATGGACGTGGACGTGGACGTGGACGTGGACGTGGACGTGGACGTGGACATGGAGGTGGACGTGGAGGACGTGGACGTGGACGTGGAGGACGTGGACGCGGACGTGGTCGTGGACGTGGACGTTGACGTGGACGTGGACGTGGAGGACTTGGACGTGGACATGGACGTGGACGTGGACGTGGACGTGGACGTGGACCTGGACCTGGACGTGGACGTGGACATGGACGTGGACGTGGACGTGGACGTGGACGTGGACGTGGACCTTGTCGTGGACGTGAACGTGGACATTGTCGTGGACGTGTACGTGGACGTGGACGTGGACGTGGTCGTGGACGTGGACGTGGACGTGGTCGTGGACGTGGACATTGTCGTGGACGTGGACGTGGACGTGGACGTGGACATTGTCGTGGACGTGGACGTGGACGTGGACGTGGTCGTGGACGTGGACGTGGACGTGGTCGTGGACGTGGACGTGGACCTGGACGTGGACGTGGACGTGGACGACTTGGACGTGGACGTGGACGTGGACGTGGACCTGGACGTGGACGTGGACGTGGACGTGGACGTGGACATAGACGTGGACGTGGACGTGGACGTGGACGTGGACCTTGTCGTGGACATGGACGTGGACGTGGACGTGGACGTGGTCGTGGATGTGGACGTGGACGTGGACGTGGTCGTGGACGTGGACATGGACGTGGAAGTGGAGGACGTGGACGTGGACGTGGACGTGGACGTGGTCGTGGACGTGGACGTGGACATGGACGTGGACATGTACGTGGACGTCGACGTGGAAGTGGACGTGGACGTGGAGAACTTGGACGTGGACATGGACGTGGACATGGACGTGGACGTGGATGTGGACGAAGACATGGTCGTGGATGTGGACGTGGACGTGGACGTGGACATGGACTTAGACGTGGACGTGGACGTGGACGTGGACCGGTCGTGGACGTGGACGTGGACGTGGACATGGACGTGGACGTGGACGTGGACGTGGAAGTGGACGTGGTCGTGGACATGGACGTGGACGTGGACCGGTCGTGGACGTCGACGTGGATGTGGACATGGACGTTGACATGGACGTGGACGTGGACGTGGACATTGTCGTGGACGTGGACGTGGACGTGGACGTGGACGTGGACGTGGTCGTGGACGTGGACGTGGACGTGGTCGTGGACGTGGACGTGGACGTGGACGTGGACGTGGACGACTTGGACGTGGACGTGGACGTGGACGTGGACCTGGACGTGGACGTGGACGTGGACGTGGACGTGGACGTGGACGTGGACGTGGACATGGACGTGGAAGTGGAGGACGTGGACGTGGACATGGACGTGGACGTGGACCGGACGTGGACGTGGACGTCGACGTGGACGTGGACGTGGACGTGGTCGTGGACGTGGACGTGGACGTGGACGGTCGGGACGTGGACGTGGACCGTGGACGTGGACGTGGGACGTGGACGTGGACGTGGACGTTGGACTAGTGGACGTGGTCGTGGACATGGACGTGGACGTGGACGTGGACGTCGACGTGGATGTGGACATGGACGTGGTCGTGGACATGGACGTGGACGTGGACGTGGAGGACTTGGACGTGGACGGTGGACCGGTCGTGGACGTCGACGTGGATGTGGACATGGACGTGGACGTGGACGTGGACGTGGACGTGGAGGACTTGGACGTGGACGTGGACGTGGACGGGGACATGGACGTGGACGTGGACGTGGACGTGGACGTGGACGTGGACATGGACGTGGAAGACGTGGACGTGGACATGGACGTGGACGTGGACGTGGACGTGGACGTGGAAGTGGACGTGGTCGTGGACATGGACGTGGACGTGGACCGGTCATGGACGTGGACGTGGACGTGGACATGGACGTGGACGTGGACGTGGACGTGGAGGACTTGGACGTGGACGTGGACGTGGACGGGGACGTGGACGTGGACGTGGACGTGGAGGACTTGGACGTGGACGTGGACGTGGACGGGGACATGGACGTGGACGTGGACGTGGACGTGGACGTGGACATGGACGTGGACGTGGACGTGGACGTGGACGTGGACGTGGACGTGGACATGGACGTGGACGTGGACGTGGACGTGGACGTGGACATGGACGTGGACGTGGACGTGGACGTGGACGTGGACATGGACATAGACATGGACGTGGACATGGAGATGGAGATGGACGTGGACATGGACATGGACATGGATGTGGACGTGGACGTGGGCGTGGACATGGACGTGGACGTGGACGTGGACGTGGACATGGACGTGGACATGGACGTGCACATGGACGTGGACGTGGACATTGTCGTGGACGTGGACGTGGACGTGGACATTGTCGTGGACGTGGACGTGGCCGTGGACGTGGACGTGGACGTGGTCGTGGACGTGGACGTGGACGTGGACGTGGAGGACTTGGACGTGGACATGGACGTGGCCGTGGACGTGGACGTGGACGTTGACGTGGACGTGGACGTGGACGTGGACGTGGACATGGACGTGGACATGGACATGGACGTGGACGTGGACGTGGACATGGACGTGGACGTGGACGTGGACGTGGACGTGGACGTGGAGATGGACGTGGACGTGGACGTGGACGTGGACGTGGACATGGACGTGGACGTGGACGTGGACATGGACGTGGACATGGACGTGGACGTGGACGTGGACGTGGAGATGGACGTGGACGTGGACGTGGACGTGGACATGGACGTGGACGTGAACATGGACGTGGACATGGACGTGGACGTGGACGTGGTCGTGGACGTGGACGTGGACGTGGACGTAGACCTGGACGTGGACGTGGACGTGGACATGGACGTGGACGTGGACGTGGTCGTAGACGTGGACGTGGACGTGGACGTGGTCGTGGACGTGGTCGTGGACGTGGTCGTGGACGTGGACGTGGACGTGGACGTGCCCGTGGACGTGGACGTGGACGTGGACGTGGACGTGGTCGTGGACGTGGACGTGGACATGGACGTGGAAGTGGAGGACGTGGACGTGGACATGGACGTGGACGTGGACGTGGACGTGGACGTGGACGTGGACGTGGACGTGGATCTGGACGTGGACGTGGACGTGGACGTGGACGTGGACGTGGACGTGGACATGGATGTGGACGTGGACATGGACGTGGACGTGGACGTGGACGTGGCCGTCGTGGACGTGGACGTGGACGTGGACATGGACGTGGACGTGGACGTGGACGTGGACGTGGAAGTGGACGTGGTCGTGGACATGGACGTGGACGTGGACCGGTCGTGGACGTCGACGTGGACGTGGACATGGACGTGGACGTGGACGTGGACGTGGTCGACTTGGACGTGGACGGGGACATGGACGTGGACGTGGACGTGGACGTGGACATGGACGTGGAGGACGTGGACGTGGACATGGACGTGGACGTGGACGTGGACGTGGACGTGGAAGTGGACGTGGTCGTGGACATGGACGTGGACGTGGACCGGTCGTGGACGTGGACGTGGACGTGGACATGGACGTAGACGTGGACGTGGACGTGGACGTGGAGGACTTGGACGTGGACGTGGACGTGGACGGGGACATGGACGTGGACGTGGACGTGGACGTGGACGTGGACGTGGACCTGGACGTGGACGTGGACGTGGACGTGGACGTGGACGTGGACATGGAGATAGACATGGACGTGGACATGGACATGGAGATGGAAGTGGACATGGACATAGACGTGGACGTGGACGTGGACGTGGGCGTGGACATGGACGTGGACGTGGACGTGGACATGGACGTGGACATGGACGTGCACTTGGACGTGGACGTGGACATTGTCGTGGACGTGGACGTGGACGTTGACATTGTCGTGGACGTGGACGTGGCCGTGGACATGGACGTGGACGTGGTCGTGGACGTGGACGTGGACGTGGACGTGGACGTAGCCATGGACGTGGACATGGACGTGGCCGTGGACGTGGACGTGGACGTTGACGTGGACGTGGACGTGGACGTGGACGTGGACGTGGACATGGACGTGGACATGGACGTGGACGTGGACATGGACGTGGACGTGGACCTGGACGTGGACGTGGACGTGGACGTGGACGTGGACGTGGACGTGGACGTGGAGATGGACGTGGACATGGACGTGGACGTGGACGTGGACCTGGACGTGGACATGGACGTGGACCTGGACGTGGACATGGACGTGGACGTGGACGTGGACGTGGACGTGGACGTTGTCGTGGACGTGGACGTGGACGTGGACGTGGACGTGGTCGTGGACGTGGACGTGGACGTGGACGTGGACGTGGACATGGACGTGGACGTGGACGTGGACCTGGAAGTGGACGTGCACTTGGACGTGGACGTGGACATTGTCGTGGACGTGGACGTGGACGTGAACATGGACATTGTCGTGGACGTGGACGTGGCCGTGGACGTGGACGTGGACATGGACGTGGACGTGGACGTGGACCTGGAAGTGGACGTGGACGTGGACGTGGACGTGGACGTGGACGTGGACGTGGACGTGGACGTGGACCTTGTCGTTGATGTGGACGTGGACGTAGACGTGGACGCGGACGCGGACGGGGACGCGGATCGGACGCGGACGCGGACGTGGACGCGGACGGGAACGCGGACGTGGACGCCGACGCGGACGGGGACGCGGACGCGGACGGGGACGCGGACGCGGACGCGGACGTGGACGCCGACGCGGACGGGGACGTGGACGCGGACGGGGACGCGGACGCGGACGTGGACATGGACGTGGACATGGACGTGGACATGGACGTGGACATGGACGTGGACGCGGACGTGGACGTGGACGTGGACGTGGACGTGGACGTGGACGTGGACGTGGACGTGGACCTGGACGTGGACGTGGACGTGGACGTGGACGTGGACGTGGTCGTGGACGTGGACGTGGTCGTGGACGTGGACGTGGACGTGGACGTGGACAGGACGTGGACAGGGGACGTGGACGTGGACATGAACGTGGACGTGGACGTGGACGTGAACGTGGACGCGTGGACGTAGACGTGGACATGGACGTGGACGTGGACGTGGACGTGGACGTGGACGTGGACGTGGACGTGGAGATGGACGTGGACGTGGACGTGGACGTGGACGTGGACGTGGACATGGACGTGGACGTGGACGTGGACGTGGACGTGGACGTGGAGATGGACGTGGACGTGGACGTGGACGTGGACATGGACGTGGACGTGAACATGGACATGGACATGGACGTGGACGTGGACGTGGTCGTGGACGTGGACGTGGACGTGGACGTAGACCTGGACGTGGACGTGGACGTGGACGTGGACGTGGTCGTGGACGTGGACGTGGACGTGGTCGTGGACGTGGACGTGGACGTGGTCGTGGACGTGGACGTGGACGTGGACGTGGTCGTGGACGTGGACGTGGACGTGGACGTGGTCACGTGGACGTGGACATAGACGTGGAAGTGGAGGACGTGGACGTGGACATGGACGTGGACGTGGACGTGGACGTGGACGTGGACGTGGACGTGGACATGGACGTGGACGTGGACGTGGACGTGGACGTGGACATGGACGTGGACGTGGACATGGACGTGGACGTGGACGTGGACGTGGACGTGGTCGTGGACGTGGACGTGGACGTGGACCGGTCGTGGACGTGGACGTGGACGTGGACATGGACGTGGACGTGGACGTGGACGTGGAAGTGGATGTGGTCGTGGACATGGACGTGGACGTGGACCGGTCGTGGACGTCGACGTGGACGTGGACATGGACGTGGACGTGGACGTGGACGTGGACGTGGAGGACTTGGACGTGGACGTGGACGTGGACGGGGACATGGACGTGGACGTGGATGTGGACGTGGACGTGGACATGGACGTGGAGGACGTGGACGTGGACATGGACGTGGACGTGGACGTGGACGTGGACGTGGAAGTGGACGTGGTCGTGGACATGGAGGTGGACGTGGACCGGTCGTGGACGTGGACGTGGACATGGACGTGGACGTGGACGTGGACGTGGAGGACTTCGACGTGGACGTGGACGTGGACGGGGACATGGACGTGGACGTGGACGTGGACGTGGACGTGGACGTGGACATGGACATAGACATGGACGTGGACATGGACATGGACGTGGACGTGGACGTGGACATGGACATGGACGTGGACGTGGATGTGGACGTGGACATGGACGTGGACGTGCACTTGGACGTGGACGTGGACATTGTCGTGGACGTGGACGTGGACGTGGACGTGGACGTGGACGTGGACGTGGACGTGGAGATGGACGTAGACATGGACGTGGACGTGGACGTGGACGTGGACGTAGACCTGGACGTGGACATGGACGTGGACGTGGACGTGGACGTGGACCTTGTCGTGGACGTGGACGTGGACGTGGACGTGGTCGTGGACGTGGACGTGGACGTGGACGTGGACGTGGACGTGGACGTGGACCTGGAAGTGGACGTGCACTTGGACGTGGACGTGGACATTGTCGTGGACGTGGACGTGGACGTGAACATGGACATTGTCGTGGACGTGGACGTGGCCGTGGACGTGGACGTGGACGTGGACGTGGACGTGGACCTGGACGTGGACGTGGACGTGGACGTGGACGTGGACGTGGTCGTGGACGTGGACGTGGTCGTGGACGTGGACGTGGACGTGGACGTGGACAGGACGTGGACAGGGGACGTGGACGTGGACATGAACGTGGACGTGGACGTGGACGTGAACGTGGACGCGTGGACGTAGACGTGGACATGGACGTGGACGTGGACGTGGACGTGGACGTGGACGTGGACGTGGAGATGGACGTGGACGTGGACGTGGACGTGGACGTGGACGTGGACATGGACGTGGACGTGGACGTGGACGTGGACGTGGACGTGGAGATGGACGTGGACGTGGACGTGGACGTGGACATGGACGTGGACGTGAACATGGACGTGGACATGGACGTGGACGTGGACGTGGTCGTGGACGTGGACGTGGACGTGGACGTAGACCTGGACGTGGACGTGGACGTGGACGTGGACGTGGTCGTGGACGTGGACGTGGACGTGGTCGTGGACGTGGACGTGGACGTGGTCGTGGACGTGGACGTGGACGTGGACGTGGTCGTGGACGTGGACGTGGACGTGGACGTGGTCGTGGACGTGGACGTGGACATAGACGTGGAAGTGGAGGACGTGGACGTGGACATGGACGTGGACGTGGACGTGGACGTGGACGTGGACGTGGACGTGGACATGGACGTGGACGTGGACGTGGACGTGGACGTGGACATGGACGTGGACGTGGACATGGACGTGGACGTGGACGTGGACGTGGACGTGGTCGTGGACGTGGACGTGGACGTGGACCGGTCGTGGACGTGGACGTGGACGTGGACATGGACGTGGACGTGGACGTGGACGTGGAAGTGGATGTGGTCGTGGACATGGACGTGGACGTGGACCGGTCGTGGACGTCGACGTGGACGTGGACATGGACGTGGACGTGGACGTGGACGTGGACGTGGAGGACTTGGACGTGGACGTGGACGTGGACGGGGACATGGACGTGGACGTGGATGTGGACGTGGACGTGGACATGGACATGGAGGACGTGGACGTGGACATGGACGTGGACGTGGACGTGGACGTGGACGTGGAAGTGGACGTGGTCGTGGACATGGAGGTGGACGTGGACCGGTCGTGGACGTGGACGTGGACATGGACGTGGACGTGGACGTGGACGTGGAGGACTTCGACGTGGACGTGGACGTGGACGGGGACATGGACGTGGACGTGGACGTGGACGTGGACGTGGACGTGGACATGGACATAGACATGGACGTGGACATGGACATGGACGTGGACGTGGACGTGGACATGGACATGGACGTGGACGTGGACGTGGACGTGCACTTGGACGTGGACGTGGACATTGTCGTGGACGTGGACGTGGACGTGGACGTGGACGTGGACGTGGACGTGGAGATGGACGTAGACATGGACGTGGACGTGGACGTGGACGTGGACGTAGACCTGGACGTGGACATGGACGTGGACGTGGACGTGGACGTGGACCTTGTCGTGGACGTGGACGTGGACGTGGACGTGGACGTGGTCGTGGACGTGGACGTGGACGTGGACGTGGACGTGGACGTGGACGTGGACCTGGAAGTGGACGTGCACTTGGACGTGGACGTGGACATTGTCGTGGACGTGGACGTGGACGTGAACATGGACATTGTCGTGGACGTGGACGTGGCCGTGGACGTGGACGTGGACGTGGACGTGGATGTGGAAGTGGACGTGGACGTGGACGTGGACGTGGACGTGGACGTGGACGTGGACCTTGTCGTGGACGTGGACGTGGACGCGGACGCGGACGGGGACGTGGACGCGGACGGGGACGCGGACGCGGACGCGGACGTGGACGCGGACGGGGACGCGGACGCGGACGCACGTCTGCGGACGGGGACGCGGACGCACGTCTGCGGACGGGGACGCGGACGTGGACGCCGACGCGGACGGGGACGTGGACGCGGACGGGGACGTGGACGTGGACGTGGACGTGGACGGGGACGTGGACGTGGACGTGGACATGGACGTGGACGTGGACGTGGACATGGTCGTGGTGGTGGACGTGGACGTGGACGTGGACGTGGACGTGGACGTGGACGTGGACGTGGACGTGGACGTGGACGTGGACGTGGACGTGGACATGGACGTGGACGTGGACGTGGACGTGGACGTGGACGTGGACGTGGACGTGGACGTGGACGTGGACGTGGACGTGGACGTGGACGTGGACGTGGACGAGGACGGGACGTGGACGTGGACGGGACGTGGACGTGGACGTGGACATGGACGTGGACGTGGACGTGGACGTGGACTGGACGTGGACGTGGACGTGGACGTGGACGTGGACGTGGACGTGGTCGTCGACGTGGACGTGGACGTGGACGTGGACGTGGACGGTGGACGTGGACGTGGACATGGACGTGGACGTGGACGTGGACGTGGACGTGGACGTGGACGTGGACGTGGACAGGACGTGGACGTGGACGTGGACGTGGACATGGACGTAGACGTGGACGTGGACATGGACGTGGACGTGGACGTGGACGTGGACGTGGACGTGGACGGTGGACGTGGACGTGGACATGAACGTGGACGTGAACGTGGACGTGAACGTGGACGTGGACGTGGACGTGGACGTGGACGTGGACGTGGACGTGGACGTGGACATGGACGTGGACGTGGACGTGGACGTGAACGCATGGACGTAGACGTGGACGTGGACATGGACGTGGACGTGGACGTGGACGTGGACGTGGACGTGGACCTGGACGTGGACGTGGACGTGGACGTGGACGTGGACATGGACGTGGACGTGGACGTGGACGTGGACATGGACGTGGACGTGGACGTGGACGTGGACCTGGACGTGGACGTGGACGTGGACGTGGACGTGGACGTGGACGTGGACGTGGACCTGGACGTGGACCTGGACGTGGACCTGGACGTGGACGTGGACGTGGACGTGGACGTGGAACTGGACGTGGACGTGAACTGGACGTGGACGTGGACGTGGACATGGACGTGGACGTGGACGTGGACGTGGACGTGGACGTGGACGTGGACGTTGTCGTGGACGTGGACGTGGACGTGGACGTGGACGTGGACATTGTCGTGGACGTTGACGTGGACGTCGACCTTGTCGTGGACGTGGACGTGGACGCGGACGTGGACGTGGACGCGGACGTGGACGCGGACGGGGACGCGGACGCGGACGCCGACGCGGACGTGGACGTGGACGTGGACGTGGACGTGGACGTGGACGTGGACCTGGACGTGGACCTGGACGTGGACCTGGACGTGGACGTGGACGTGGACGTGAACGTGGACATGGACGTGGACGTGGACATGGACCTAGACGTGGACGTGGACGTGGACGTGGCCGTGGACGTGGACGGGACGTGGACGTGGACGTGGACGTGGACGTGGACGTGGACGTGGACTGGACGTGGACGTGGACGTGGACGTGGACGTCGACGTGGACGTGGACGTGGACGTGGACGTGGACGTGGACGGTGGACGTGGACGTGGACGTGAACGTGGACGTGGACGTGGACGTGAACGTGGACGTGGACGTGGACGTGGACAGGATGTGGACGTGGACGTGGACAGGGGACGTGGACGTGGACGTGAACGTGGACGTGGACGTGGACGTGAACGTGGACGTGGACGTGGACGCGTGGACGTAGACGTGGACGTGGACATGGACGTGGACGTGGACCTGGACGTGGACGTGGACGTGGACGTGGACGTGGAGATGGACGTGGACGTGGACGTGGACGTGGACGTGGACGTGGACGTGGACATGGACGTGGACGTGGACGTGGACATGGACGTAGACGTGGACGTGGACGTGGACGTGGACGTGGACGTGGAC